CGAACCGTTTGACGTAGATGCTTGTAAATACTTCGATGATTTGACCAAGAAAATTATTGAAGAAAGAAAGAAGCAAAATAAACATGGTACCAACAATGATAAAGGTTAGTTTGTGCTGTATTTTTGCATATTTAATTTTATTATTTTATTTATGAAATATTTAAGGCACTGAAAATGTCACTAAAACTAAAAAATTATATAAATTAATATTATACCAGCCGTATAATTAACAAAAAGTATAAAAGTTATCAATAAAGTAGAACTGTATTAAAGAATTTAAAAAGCGTTTATAATAATAAGGTTATAAAGAATATGTTAACTTCTGGGAGCCCCGACAAACAGCAATATAATTATATTAACTTTAGAAAATAAAACAGATATAGAGAGTAATTATTATAAAAATTTTAATTTAATTAAAAATAATTATTACATATCTATAGTCAAAAAGCGCACAGATTTCATACAACTAATGATAGACTCGGAAAAGTCGGACAAAGACTTGGGTTACGACTCTATCAGCGATGCAGAGCAAGAAGAGGACAAAATATATGGTGAAAAACCAAAATCAAAACCATCGGGCACTCTATCACCGGATGAAATGGTAGCCCAGGCCATTTTATTTTACATCGCCGGCTACGACACTACCAGCGCTGCCCTAACCCACGCCCTGTACTACTTGTCTGAACACAAAGACTGTCAGCAAAAACTATACGAAGAGTTGCGAAGTTGTGATGAGTTTACGTACGAAAAGTTATCGCAACTAAAATACTTGAATGGCGTAATCCATGAGACACTACGACTGAGGCCATCATTTGCTAAGCTATTCCGGTCCTGTGTTCAGGACTATAAGCTGGGAAATACCGGTACGTAAACAATAAACAGTATATTTACCAAATATTATTTAAATATATGGTATGCATAACTTAAATAATCAATATTCATTTTAACTTATTGTAAACATGTTTATTATAATTTATAAATTATCTAGGTATTACTATACCAGCGGGAACCGCTGTAGAGATCAACCTAACTACACTACAACGGGATCCCAAATATTGGCCAAATGCGGAAGAGTTTCAGCCCGAGCGCTGGTTTGAGCCCAACCACCATCCGTACGCTTACCTCCCATTTGGCGCCGGACCCCGACTATGCATTGGACAACGGTTTGCCATTAATGAGATGCAAATGTGCCTGGCTAAAATGATACGAAAGTTTGAGTTCACCATGGTGCCCGGATTTGAAATTGAATATTTTAGAGGTCAACCAGCCATGTCGCCAAAAGAGTTGCAGTGTACTTTAAAGTTGCGTACTTAATTCATATAAAGATTTTGATTATGATAACATTGTTAAACTTACATAACACATTTACATTATACATGTTTTTCATATTTAATTTTATACTAATATAATTAAATGTTGTTATTTAAATGTGTACTTAATTTATGAATTCACACTTGTTACAATGTTATATTACTAAAATGTTATTAAAATTGATGAATATTTTAAATATACAAGTTCTATGAATAATAGATAAGTTATGAAAATGTTTTAATGTATTTATGACTCCGGAAATATGATTAAAATTTACTTTAAATGTTATATTTATTAAGTTTAAAATAATAATATAAGTTATATTATATAACTTTCAATTGGGGAAACATTTTTTACTGTAACCAAATCTAATAATAATTTTTGTTATTCTAAAAATTCAAATATAGTTTACAGTTATAAAATATTTTTAATATAAGAAGTTAAAATCATAATGATTAACATTAAACCTAACATAGTAATAAATTATGCAATGTTGACAACAGAATTTTTAATTATACAACTGATCAAGGTCAAATATATGGTTTAAGACAGTTAACATCTGGGGTTTCTTTTGTATGTTTGCATATATTTTTCTTATCAATAATGTACTATTAATAGTGTCCTTAGTTTTATTTATTAACCATAATCATACAACCAATAATTTCTATAGCTGGTAAGCAATAAATACCCTGCTTTATGCTTAATGTACTTGGAGTAATTTCATGCTCATTTTTATCATGTATTCTATTAATTATAAGTGGTTTATAAAGTGTATATAAAGCGATTGTAGATTTCACTTTGTTATAACAAAGGTTAAAAATTTACTTTAATAGTAAAGTAATTTTAAAAATTACAAACTATCCTTAATGCTTTGCAAATATTAAAACTTTGTGTTAATTATTATTATTTAATAAATATACAAAAGTAGAGTTTTATTATGAATGGCATAACTCTGTTGTCTGTATTTGTGGCTGTAATCACAGCACTGGGAATGTAAGTACAGTATATACTTTTAACTAAATTACACATTATTATTAGATAATATTATACTAATTTAATCAAACAATTATTTTACCGTGTAGATATTTAAGACGATATTTTACTTATTGGTCCAGGCAAGGAGTGCCAGGCAAAAATGGGGTAGATTTTAGTTTGATAGGCAAACTTACACACGAAATTGATGAACAACATTTTAAAGAGCATGGTCGTATATACGGCTTGTACGCGTTTACCTACAAAGTCATTTGCATCAATGAACCCGATTTGCTCAGGGATATTTTGGTTAAAGATTTTCATATTTTTCCCGATCACTTAAACTTCCACCTTGGTAGTTCAAAACTCGAACAAAGTTTGTTTTTCATACCCGGCAACGATGACTGGAAACGGCAACGATCTATACTATCGCCTGTGTTTACATCGGGTAAACTTCGATCAATGTTGGAACACATCAATCAGATATCAGATAGATTTATCCATAATTTGACTAAGTTTGAAAAACAAGGTAATTATTTGTTTGTATGAATAATATGCGTGCTCTCTCTCTCTCTCTCTCTCTCTCTCTCTCTCTCTTTCTCTCAATAAATAAATAAACTGTAATAATATTTTTACATTATTGAAATAGTAACACAAAATAATTGTATTACTTATTTTTGGGATAGCACCAACTATTGATATACAGCTAAATAGCTAAATCTTTACATAAATATATCATTAACCAAATTTTTACGGCTTACTTTACTAAAATTGTCAAAGGTAAAATATTTAATTAAACAAACTTTATTCGTAGGAGAGCTAATAAAAATAGATTTAATATAATTTAATTAAAATGCTTAAATATATCTATCATTAATAGCATTATACAGTCTGCACCGCATTTATCGGTCCCACATATAACGTAAAACCGCTTTTAACCGAATATTTTTGCTGCACCGGCAGCTCCTATGGGTGTATAACGATAAGTGCACCACTAATAGCAGAATCGGTTATAACAGAATACCGCATATAGCAGACAGTAAACTAATGACGTGCAATGTTAAACAGGTCCACATATAACGGAATAGGGCTATACACAGATATAGCTATGGTGAAAATTAGATTTCCTCGTGTTTTTAATAACCCTATTGATGAAACAATTTGTAGTGTTTCTAAAATTAGTGTTTTAACAACAAAACGTTACTTTGTATCATGTTTTTACACAATTACAGTGCTATCTTTGTAAAATAAGCGCCTTTTTGGCAAAATTTTCAATAATCTATTACCGGGAATAACAGAAAACCGGATATAACAGAATAGTATTGCACTCACCGAGTGATTCTGCTAAATGCGGTGCAGACTGTATATGGAAATAAATGAAAACCGCATAAATTGCAATCGCATAGTTACAGTATATTATCATTTTAAAAAAAATTTGAATTTACATAAAAATATAATAACCATTATTAATTAATCTAGGTGGTCCGATAGATATGCGCAAACAGGTGGGCGCGTTTGCAATGGACGTGATCTCGTGCTGCGCGTATGGCATAGACGTCGAGTCCATGACTAATCCTAATCATCCCATTGTATTAAACGCGAGCAAAATATTGAGTAGTGATCCGCGACCGGGAATAATAGTGTCGGCGCTGTTCCCGGCATTTGCCAAACTAATAGGCGCCGAACCGTTTGACGTAGATGCTTGTAAATACTTCGATGATTTGACCA